GATGTAAATTCATTTTATTCTGCTTTAGATACTGAAGATGGAATCTGATAGAATTCCGAAACGTTTATCCATGTCCCCTTTTCGTCAATAAACAATGTTGTTTATCATAAGTGTCGTAATCTTGTTTATAATCAAACTTCGTTTTCCTTCGAACACATCGATTGCTATCTTTGATGTGTTAACAAGCCATGTGTATTTAGAAATTAAATGTCAATTTAATGGACGAGTTTCAAAATATTTGAATGAAATTTACTAAGTTATGCAGTCTTATAAATGTAAAGCCATCAATTTACAACCTTAGTTTTAAGGTATTTAAATGAAAAGAATAATTAAACACGAGTGTTGAAGATTGTTTTTGATACATCTTGATAAGTTTTTATCGAGTTTTACATTATTTAGCCTCAAGTTGCTCATCGGCTTTTTATACACGTTTTTAAAACTATCTACGCACCAAAGTACTTGTGGGTTCACGAAATTGTTGGTTACAGGATCGCTAATGACATAAGAGCCACACAGAATATGTAAACAAAATTCCTTCGATATTACAATCAATCATACTAATTACTGCTGGAATCCCCTATTGTATTTTTACATATAAAATGAATGACTTCACTTATTTTTTGGTCAGTACTTTACATGAATTGTTGTCAGAAGCAGAAAAATATAATCACTCAATATGTGGACTCCGCCGATAATGAATGGTATAAACACGATTAATTTAAGGGTTAAAATTCCCCATTCACCTTTATACTCGACAATAATGTTTATCGTGTAAAAGTACATTATAAAACTTATACAGATATTTAATAGAATCATATCAGTGGTTATTACCAGCTTATTATCTATCTGTTAACATATTTATACCATTTGCGTTCAATATCGTTTTCTGAGGCTAGTAAAAAGTATTCTCATATATATTATACTTTGCTCTTTCATTAGTAAACCCAGGTTGAAAGTACAGCGTTTATAACTCAAAATTAAGCCCAGCGCTGTGAAGTCTGCTTCGTAGATCGCGTGTGTTGAAGCTATAAACGATTAGGGTCAGCACCTTACAGTAGATAACGCTTGCCAGTAAAACCGATTTTCCGGTCGGACATCTATTAAACGTAAGTTTACATGAAATCGCACCTAGAACATAACCGAATAATGACATAAACTTACACGTCATCATATATAAAATGTGCTAACAAAATGAGCTATAATTTCAATCTCAGTACCTATAAAACTGTTTCCTAATGTCGAAGGAATTATTTACATATCAGCTTCTGTTTACAAGAAATGTATCATTCTGTAAAAGCAGTCCATATATTTATATGCTATTTCTACTTCAAAGTAATAAAGTTTATGTTCAGCCATAAGTCACTACAGTTATCTCCCCACCCCTCACAAAAAACAAAAACAAACGGACTTACAATTTTGCATTTGTTTTAATTGGCAGACATAAATGACATTCGTAAAAAAATGCCCCCCCAGTGGCACAGCGGTATTTCTGCGGACTTACAATGCTAGAATCCGGGTTTCGATACCCGTGATGGGCAGAGCACAGATAGCCCATTGTGTAGCTTTGTGCTTAATTACAAACAAACAAACAATCGTAAAAAATATGTTTGTAACAATCTTACAGAATATATAATTTTTGTTGTTGTTGTTTTTTGAAGTTTTTTTAATAGGATACTGGTCAGGAAGGAGACTGGATGATGTATCCGTAATTGAGAACGCGAGAACCACAACCGATATAATGTCCCTGTGCTATCACACTGTCTACAAATTGCCAAATAATCTCAAAATTTAGTGATGATATATTCCGTTCCACCGCGACTTTGTATCGGCTGTGGTAGTCACGTAATTAGCTGATTAGCATATTTCAAAATCTTTTTTATTATAACGTACCCAACCATATCATACCTATCCTCCACATCATTATTGATATCCATCATAAAATATTCATTCTCTTGCTCATTCAAACTTTGTACATTCTCCACGGTCTTTTTTTTTTACTCTACTCCTATCATATTTACCATGGCTTTCCTCCAGCAGTCCCTAACCTTTTTTTAAACACTTTACTCCTATCTTCTTCACCATGGCTATCCTCCAGCATTTCACAACCCTTTTTCTTACTTTATTCCTATCCTTACCATGGCTATCTTCCAGCAGATCCCAACCCTTTTCTCCACTTTACTTCTATCGTAATTACCATAGTTTTCTTCCAGTAGTTCCTATCCTCCATATTGTGGCTATCCTTCAGTAGATTCTACCATTTTTAATCTCAGCAATCTCAGTTCCAGAATTTCTGATATTTTCGCAACCTCGCAACAAACTGTACCTATTATTATTATTATTATAATGGATATATTATAATTTGTCATCAATCAACATTTGATGCTTGCTAACATGTACACTCCTTGCAGGTAAAAGTGCGTGTGTTTTGGGTCAAGCATCGTCTTATCTATTGAAGTATGTTATAGATTTTGAAACGAATTTCACTGAAACCTCGACTCGCGCAATAAAAATAGAAAATTTTCTACGTTTACTTATGCAACATATGCATTTTCGAGGCCACCTGAAATATTATAAAAAATTATTATAAATTGGTGTTTAGTAAACATAATGTTCCAGCAATGATATAAACTTTTATAATTCCCAAAAAGTTAAAAAGTAGTTCAATCTTATCCATCAAGGATTTTGTTACGAACTCGTCAAATATTTTCAGCGACCCCTCAATTGGGTACCTTTCTTCCACAACACATGCATGCTTATCTTCAAAACTATTTGTGTTCTCGACATCATTCCTCTTCTCCACATTATTTTTCATACCACGTTCATCAATCACACCGTTTCTTTGTCCATGCTCAAAGTCACTTCTACTCGTTTCATTTTAACGGAACTCACGGAAATTATAATATAACTTGGAAAAGAGAGAATCAGACTATATATCCTTCAAGTAATGTGAATTGTATTACTAAACAAACATAAAGCTAATAATTCAAAAAACAAATTGCATAATTTAACCTCAGCCTCAGGATTAAAACTGTTGAAAGAAACTTGTATATTAATTTAATTTTATATTCATACCAACTTTTTAGTTTTATGTTAAATAAGTGTATTATTAAAACATTTTGTAAATTCAAATACTGTACTTTATTTTTTAGTTTTTCCACAGACTGCATCACCAAACTCAGGTAAATGTTTTTCATTTCTAATTTATAGTCCTAAAGCCTCCACCGTTTCATTTAAGATATATTACAAAGACATAAAACTGTCTGTATAGCTTGAAACCAGTCTGTATAGTGTTATACATTTATTATACATTACAAAGACATAAACCTGTCCGTCTAGTTTGTTGGATTTTATGATACATTGTAAAGGAATAAACATGTCTGTCTAGTTTATTATAAATATATGTTACATTAAGAAGATATATTACGTTATATTACATTAAAATATATAAACCTGTCTTTGTAGGTTGTTATACTTTCATGTTATATTAGAAAGACATAACCCTGTCTACGTACTTTGTTATATATTTATGTTAGCTTACATAGACACAAATCTTTCAGTCTTGTTTGTTGTACATTAAAAACACATAAATCCTTCTGTCTTGTTTGTTGTACATTAAAAACACATAAATTCTTCTGTCTAGTTTGTTATAAGTTTAACTTTCATTACAAAGACATAAACTTATATGTATTTTTTATGTCGGTCTCTCTACTTTTTATATTGTTACGAGAGCAGAAGTCACGTGACTCTGGTAACACGTGATGAGTTTCTAGAAGATTCACGAAGAGACGAGATGTACGCTTTTATAATATATAAGACCGCCAAGAAGTGACGGCATCAATGGAATTGAATTGCAGACAGCGTAAATTATAGCGTTTGTTTAAGTTAAACTGACTGTGGAAATTAAGTTTATTGCAAAGTTGTATTGAGAAAGATTAAACTAGTTTTATTTAAGAAAGGACTTGTATCGTTAAAGTTTCTTCGGAAAGAATTTTTACGGAAAATTAACAAACGAACAGAGACGTAACAACATGTTTAGTTTACAACAGAAAGACATAAATCTATCTGTATAGTTTGTTATACATTTATGTTGCATTAAAGCGACATAAACCTATATGTCTAGTTTGTTATACATTTATGTTGCATTAAAGCGACATAAACCTATATGTCTAGTTTGTCATACCTCTATATTACATTCTGTATAGTTTTTATAGCTTTATGTTAACTGACAAAGACATTAACTTTTCTGTCTAATTTGTTATAAGTTTATGTTACATTGAGAAGACATAAATCTCTCAGCCTAGTTTCTTGTACTTTTACGTTACATTACAAAGATATAAACCTGTCTGTCTGGTTTGTTATACATTTATGTTACATAAGAAGATATGTACCTGTCTGTCTAATTTGTTATAAATTTTGTTACACAGACATGACATTGTCTGTATCTTTAAAGCTGTTAGTCTACTTTGTTGTACGTTTATGTTACGTTAATAAGACATTCATCTATCTGTATAGCTTGTTACACATTTCTTTTACATTATAAAGACCTAATCCTATTTGTCTAGTTTGTTATAAATTTGCTACACAAAGAAGAGATAAATCTGTCTCTCTAGTTTATTATATATTCATGATAGACTAGAAACACAAACCTCTCAGTCTAGTTTGTTATACATTTATATTACCTAATAAAAACACATATCTTAGATTATAAAGACATAAATATTTCACTCTAATTTGCTGTACATTTATATTTCCTAACATATCTGTAATACATTTATGTTTTATTACAATGACATAATATTTTTTCTTTTGTTTGTTATACATTTATGTTATATTAAAAAGACATAAGTCTGTTTGGCTGGTTTAATATACATTTACTTTACATAAAAAAAGACATCAATTTGTCCGGCTATCTTGATATACCTTTATCTTACAAATACATACTTTTATCTGTCTAATTTGTCGTATATCTAAGTTACTTTACAAAGTCAGAAAGCTGTCCGACTAGTTTGCTATATATTTATGTTGCATCACAGTGATAAACCTGTCCTTATTTTGTTATGCCTTTATGTTACATTATAAAGATATAAACTTTTCTGTCTAGTTTACTGTACATTTCTATTGAATTACAAAGATGTAAACATGTGTGTCTATATTGTTACACATTTATGTTACATCCCAAAGACATAAATCTGTCTGTCTAGGTTGTTATAGCTCATAACATAAGCTTATCTCTCTAATTTGTTATACATATATGTTGAAATATAATTACAAAAATTGCCTGTTTATTTTATCATGGTTTTGTGTTACATTACAAAAACGTATACCTGTCTGTCCAGGTTGTTATACATTTATGTTACTTTACTGAGACATAAGATTGTCTGTTTAGTTAGTTTGTTATAGATTTAAATTTCGTTACAAAGACGTAATAGTCTTTATTTTTAAAGCTGTCATTCTAGTATGTTGTATGTAAAACGACTTAAATCTGTCTGTGTAGTTTCTTATGCTTTTTATGTTACATCACAAACATATAAACCTGTTTGTGTAGTTTGTTAAACCATTATTTTACATAACGAAAACACAAACATGTCTGTCTAGTTTTTTTATACATTTAAGTTTCGTTACAAAAATATGAAACTGTCTGTATCTTTAAATCTCTCTGTATATTTTGTAATACATTTATGTTACATTACGAATACTTACTCTCGTCTCTATAGTTCTTACATGTCTGTGTTACACTACAAATACACAATTCCTTCTGTATAATTTGCTATATCAATAACTATAATTATATCACATAAAATTGTCTGTATCTTTAAGGCTGTCTGTCTAGTTTTTCGTACATTTATGTTGCATTAGAAAGACATGAACTTGATTGCCAAGTTGTTATATATATTTCTGTTTCATTACAGATACATAAAACTGTTTGCATCTTTATAGCACTCTATCTATTTTGTTATACAGTTAAGTTTCGTTACAAAGACATAATATTGTCGGTATCTTTAAAGCTGTCAGTCTAGCTTTACCTTACATCACAAAGACATAAACCTTTCTCGTTTACTATACGTTGATGTTAAATTGGAAACACATAAACCTATCTCTCTAGCTTGTTATATCTTTATGTTACATTACAAAGGCCTAAACTTGTCTGTCTAGTTTGTTGTACCTTCATCGTTATAGTTTTGTTCTACATTTATATTACATTAAAAAGCCATAAAGCTGTCTGGCTAGTTTGTTATAGATTCATATTGCGTTACATAGATATAAACTTGTCTGTATATTGTTACGACACCGAGGTCACGTGACTAGTATCACGCCACGTCATTCTCGAACATTCACGTCTTTTCCTTAAATCTCGTGATCCTTCTAGATATAGTGTAGTCTTGTATATATAATACCGCACAAAGCGACGGGGAGGTAATGAGTAATTGAATGTATGCGGACAGAATATTGTTGGCCACGTGAGACGTGAGTTATAGCGTTGTTATAGAGCGACTGTTGAAATGAAGTGTATCGTAAAGTTGTATTCGGAAAGAACAAACCAGTTTTATTTAAGAAAGGACTTGTGGCGCTAAAGTGTCGTCGGAACGAATTTACGGAAAATTAACGAACAAACGGAGACGTAACAATATCTTATTATACGCTTGTGTGACATTATCAAGATATATACCTTTCTCTTTTGTTTTTATATATTTGTGTTACATTACAAAGACTGTACAGCTTGTTATACATTTATTTTACGTTAAAAAAACATAAAGCTGTCTGTCATTTATGTTACATTACAAATGCATAAACCTGTCTTTTTTGTTATACGTTTATGTTACATTACCAAGACAAACCTATCTGTCAAGTTTATTATATATTTATATTACAAAATATAGACACGTACCTCTTTAGTTTATAATATTGTTGCGTCTCTGGTCGTTTGTTAATTTCTGGTATAAATTCTTCCCGAGGAACTTCAGCGATACAAGTCCTTTCTTAAATAAAGCTAGTTTATTCTTTCTCAATACAACTTTGCAATACACAGAATTTCCACAGTCA